CTATATTTTTGCTTCTGTGTCAGATTATTGGTAGGTGTTGGTTCCATATCCAAATTACCAATTTCCAGTGTCAATTGGATATTAAAGGTTCAATAAAATGATTGATCCATGTATTTATGTAGCACTGCATTCTGCAAGTTGCATTTTTACAGTGTGGTTGTTTTAGTATGTGTCTTATTGGTCCTTTACTTGATGCTGTACATGATAAAACCAGTTAAATTCACTTGATCAGATTGTTCGGTGATGTTTTCCTATTATTCTAAAGCTGCCTTGCTCCTGTGTTAAAGGAGTGTGGTAGACCCAGACCAGAGGGTCACTCTGGAGGTCCCAGAGCATGCATGACATAATGCACTTACTGAGCATGCTCAGACTGCATGTGCTGTTCTCTATGCAGCACAAAAACACAGAAAGTGATCTTGAGGATGGGAAAGGGCTTGTGACTTGTTTGGTTCACACTTTCCACAGTTTAAATGACTCCATCCATCAATTTTCTGCAGCAACATCCCCTGCCCTACCCCATCACTGATTATAGGGTGAAAGTAAAAGCTGCACAGAGAATGAATGGCAGGCATCTGGCAGAAAATGCTATATTGTTTTACAAACACGTACACAGGAGCTGGAAATCTGATTGACAGATTTCTCAAGAGCTGTAGTGAATTATTCAGCACAGTGTGACAGACCAACAAACAGGCACACATACTGAACATCAGCCTCAGTCTGAGCTAGAGTCAGGAAGACAGACAGCTATGGGTCATCAAAACTTCCCTCCAGGCTCATATTTATTCACAATCAATATGTTTGCAAAATTCTGCATTAGCTTACGTTACTTTAGCCTCCTGACACAGACATGGAGACTTTAAGACAAATGTTTGAAAATACACACAAGTTCCTCATGTGCTGTGCACACACACACACACACACACACACACACATGCACGCAATGGCTCACACACACGTACATGAATATAAGTGAGCAACTAACAAAAGAAGTTTCAGTCTCCTATCAAAACATGAGTGGGTAAATTAGCTGATTGCTGCAAAGACAACTGTCTTATATCGTGTAATATCCCCATTTTGACACTTTTGACCAGGTTATATTGTTATTTCCTCATGAAGAACACTCCTAGTTTTTGACTTCATGCTTGTATTTTCCTGTCTCAGCTTCAAATCCAAGCTGGTCTGCCCAGTGGCTGCAAACATCTGAATCGGGCATGGTTGGTTGTTTATGCTCTGCTTCTTCCCATCCAGGGAGTTTGAGATCTGATCCCCCTCCTTTGGTCTGTAGTTACTAACGCCCAGTCACTCTGTGTAGCTAGCAGGGAGTTTAATCTCTACAGTTGTAAAGAAGTGATTTCTTTCTTATCTAGTCTGCATTTTAAATTATGCCTAGTACCCAAAAAATGATTTTTGTCTGCAAGAGGAACAGGATCCCTGTCCAGGCTTCCTGGATAAGAGTTTAATCTGCAGAAATTGATAGATGTTATCTTCACAGGTCAGTGGGAAAGTAGAAGTGGAGGTTAGGAGCTTGTTAGAGCTTGTTAGAGGAGCTTGGCTTGGATCCAGAAAGAGTGAAAGAGTGGCGAACTTGGCGAAGAAGTCACAAGCCACATCATAGTAACGGAGTAACGCGCCACTTATATGCCCAGTAACGACAACAGCATCGCAACGATGAGAAAAGCAATTATTAGATTACTTCTTTACGTAAAAACTCACAGTTAGTAATGCCGTTATACTTAAACGCAACGCTGTTACTCCTAAGTCTGCTTAAACTTGAAATTAAGATTTCCTACAATTCCCACAATGCCATTCTGCAGTGTGAAGATAAAGAGATCTGCTTTTCAGCAGAGTTTTAAACACAAGTGGTAAAAGTGAAAGTTAGTTGCCTCCTTCTGGAGAATGAGAGTTGATCTTGATTCAAAACATGGACCTGTTTTCATGCTGCTACGCTAATGGGCTCTGTCTATTTCCTGCAGCATTCTGCGTCGCGTAAGATGAATATTCTGGTGTCTGAAGGCTTCAAGAGCAGATAACAGCTTCACATTCACTTCCTGTTTAGGTCAGCAAATTAATCTCCATCTCTACAATAATCAAAAATGATGTCAAAAGGTCAAAAACAAAACTGGTCAGCCCCTCCATTTGAATCCCTTTATTGGCGCCCTCTAGTGGGCATGCTTTTAGATGATTTGTTTCAGAAAAAGAAGACGATCATTTATATAGCGCCTCTCAAGATAGAAATCACACGATTAACATTTTCATGCACAGAAGACCACCACAGATTGTCCTATGAACTTTTGTCCATTAGAAAGACATTTTTGTAAATGCATCCACCCAAACAAAGAAAGTGTGTGTTTTATTACACCAGCAGTTCTGCTGCACAAACCAGTGTGCAGCTGAGCAGGAAAATGAGGATAAATCCAAAAACCTGGAGATCTTCCATCTATTTGACACAGCATCACACATCTGTTTCAGCCTAATATTCTGCTGTGTTTGTGTCTGCAGCCAGTACAATAAATGCACCCACAGTCAATTCATGAAAATAAATACATGCCATGTAAAATATTCAGATTGGATTCTGAAAGACTCCTGACATGTAAAAGTGTAAGTGTCAGAGCCCGTTTATGGCTCCCAGCAGCGGCTCCACCTCAAGCCCAGCTCACTCTGCTTTCAGCTCCGTACTGGGACTCATTAACGCTCTTCATCACTGACTCTGCCTGTGATTATATGATTCCCACTTGGCAGAAGGGGACGTAACACAGATCCTTAACTCCTGTTTTCTCCTGGCTTCAGTCATTCTGCTGCATCCCTGTGAGCCTTGCTTTAATGACGTTTCAGCAGAAGTCTCACTCATCAGACCTTTGCTCTCTGATACTCTCAGCACCAAGAGGTTTTACACGACAACAACACAAGTTTGTTTGTTTCACATCTACATGTTGAGTTTGGGACATAAAAGTATATGTTTTTGTTATTTATGTTCAAATTTAACATTTAATAAGGACATTGTTTTATAAAAGAAAATTTTACGCACAGTGTGTTTATCTCTTTGAGAATCAAGTGTTATATTATACCTCAGATTGACACAAATATGAGATAAACTTCACTTTTTTAGAACCTATTGCACTTGGTTGGACTTTCAAATAACTTGTTAAATGTTTTGACTTTTCTGAGTTTGAACTGTTTTCTTAAAGACTCATACAGCTCACATAAATGCTTCTTTATAGAAAAATCTCCCTCTTTGTTTCATAATTCAAATCCAAACAATTGAAGGATTTTGACGACCTCCAGTTAATCCTAGACATCCTCACCGGGAAAAACATGGATTCAGCTTTAATTAAAGTCAAATAAATTCCTTCACAGCAGCAGGAATGTGTCACTGTGGGGGAATTTTAATAAATTCACTTTAATCTCTTTACATATTTCATACTTAATGATAGCTGGGTTGGAGATAGACTAGATCAGACACACTTGCCTGTGATTGGTTGTTTAACTAGGTGTTTTATTGGTCTTTTACTTGATGGTTTAGATGATAAAAGCAGCTAAAGGATTTCATAGATTACCTCGATCTCTGATGTTATTTATTATGTTAAGCTGCCTTGCTCCAGTGTTAAAACCTAAAACATTGTTTGAATAATGACATAACCTATCTAAATCAAAAGTGTGTCCTTAAACACAAAAAACCTTTCACATCTGAAATGTGTTTGATCTATTCTGCAAATAAACCAAATTTACAAACAATAAAAGGTCCTAGACTTGTTGTTTTTATTATAATGCATAAATTGCTCCCTGACTAGCTAAATACGCCTCAAACCCCTAAGCATGATCCTTCCACCCCTAGTTATTTTTGTTTTAGATAATTGTGCACTTTTTTCTTGCCTGACGATAATTCATATTGATTTTATTGTTTGTTTTTGAAAATTACTCTCTACATCTTCAGAGTCCATGGTCGGGAATTCAGATGTTTTGAAACTGTTGCATTATCTTTCCAGAGCTCAGCTTGACCTCTGCTGTTGCATGTGTTTTTTTAATTTAATCTTTATTTAACTGGAAAGTCCCATTGAGATTAAAAACCTCTTTTTTAGGGGAGTCCTGGCCAAGGACAGTGTTTGCTTTATTCAGTTGTAATCAGGAAATAAAAATATGCTTGAAAATAATTTTTCACAAATGAGGAGCGAACCTTCCAGAATATAAAAAAATCGTCAGATACTCTTTTATCATCTCACAGCCTTTTCTTTTTTGTGAAAAAAAATGTATTCCCATCTTCTGTTGGTTTATATTAAAGCCAAGGGTCGCTGAGGTTTTTAATTTGATTGATTTTTTTTTCACCTGAACACATACTGAAGCAGCTTTGGCATTAAGTCCCTTCTGGACTGCTGGTGACCTTCCTCCAAACTCAAAACCAGCAACAACAATCCAGGGGATGTATTTTCTATTCCTGATAAAAACAACAAAAATGTAGAAACACACCAGATTTCAGCCTGAATATTTAAAGTAAAAACCTGATAGCACGTGAATTTCAGTCCTCCCAGTGTGAAACTTGTTTAAGTCAGTCTGAAGAAGGTGACAGGTTGGAACTGCAAGGTTCTCCCTGACTGAACGGTTTCGTTTTCAAATGGTATCCACTTTTTTCCAACATGGGGGTAAACCAATGCCTCTAAAACTACTACACCAATAGGAGAGGAGCAGCTGTGTGACAGAGCATCGATGCCCCTGTACACTCGTGGGCCAGAACATACCAGTGTCAGACAAATAAACGACAGGTCCAGGTTCGGAATAAAACACCGACACAAAGGAGAGAGATGTCCACATTACTCTCACCAAATCAGTCTAAAAGAAATCTACATGTGCACGTGTACAAATGGAGGACCGCGTGGATCACACGCACACATCACTCACAGGCTGCCTCAGAATCAGGATCCAGCTGGAATGCAGTGCTACATGTGCGTCTCGTGTACACTCTGCAGGAGCCAGCACACTCATACACATGCAAAGACATACAGTCTTACCTCCACACCTGCCCCAGCTGCAGGACGTGAAGCACGGTCTGAAAGACCCACATGCAGATGGTGCAGCACCTCCGAGGGGAGGCGGCTCTCGCGGCTGTTGTTGGCTGACCAGGGGACGTGTACACCAGGGTAGCGTTGGCGGCGTTCCCCGCCGCGCTGTCCTTGGTGCTGAAAGTGCTGTCGCTCGCTGTGGCTGCGCCGCTTGCCGCACCTGCCGCTGCCGCGCAGCTCCCGCTGCCGCCGGCTGACCCATCACCGCTGCTCAGATCAGAATAGTCATACACGAACCACCTGAAACTCAACACCTGGACCACAGCTGAGGGCACCACTACGAACACAAGCGTCAAGCCGAACCACCAGTGTTCGCCCTTTAGGTAGTAGTGGGCGGCCAGCCACAGGTCGGTCGCGCCGTCGGAGAAAAAGACGAGCAGGGCGCAGAGCACCCAGCAGCAGTCCAGCAGGGTGTAGGGCTTCCCGCCGGCGGCCGTGCACTGGGACCGGGTGGCGGGTTTCCCCGGCTCCGACAGGCTCCTGGGGGTGTTGTCATCTTCCACAGACACCGCTGCTCCATCCGACTTAGCGGCCATGTTGGTTAGGATGGGAGAAAGACAGGGAAAGAGGTGGAGAAGCAGGAAAGAGAGAGGGAGGGGGCTGGCTGCGCGCGAGTCAGAGGGAGTGAGAAAGATTACATCATAACTAACCTAATCATCAGCCAATTAACGGAGAGGAATTATGACTAAGAACGCTGTTAACACCGTGACACCAGCTGATGTTTTTACTACTCTAGACAGATCCATCCGACCCGCGGGGCTCGGCTTGCTCCTCTGATCAGTAAATCTTCTGCAGGTTTGTTCCCCGCTCTCTGCGGCAGCAGCACCGATGACGACACTGTTATTAAACCCGTAAGTGTTGTCTGTCCCATCAATCAGGCACGCTGTCTCTGCACACTCTCATCTTTTCATCATAAATCCTTTTCCATAAATCCTCCTTCCGCCAGTAAATGTCTCCCATCTGCCAGGCGGATAGAGACACGTGGAAGTCTTCTGAGAAGTTGCTTTTAGGAGGAAGATGCGGGTTCCTCCTGATTCCCATCAGACAAACGGAAGAGCCTCTCAGTAAAACCGCAGTCTGCTGCCCACAGAGGTCAAAAGTTAACTCAGTTTTTCCTCCCAGCGTTCTTCTTGCCTGCAGGGGCAGCTGTGGATGGGAGACCTCCAGAAAAATATAGCATTAAAATGATCAGATGATATTTTATTTTCAAATTCATTTCAGTTTTCATGTATTTCTGGAGTCCATGGTGGGTTTGTCACAAAGCTGCTGTGTTTACAGCATCATTGCTGTCATTTAAATGTTATAAATATTACTGAATTTTAAAATCACAGTTTCATAATTGCATTTTTGTTTAATTATAAGCAAATAATAACAAAATTAAACAGTTTTAGAGAGGAGAATTAAAGACAAATCCAGAAATATAATACATTAAAATATTGACATGACCTTGGGTTTGTCCACCCATCTCTGACTTCTGCTTATCTGGGGTCGGGTCAAGGAGGCAACAGCCAGAGATGCCCAGACTTCCCTCTCTCCAGCTACTTGGGCCAGCTTCTCTGGCGGAATCCCAAGGCCTTCCCTGGCCAGCAGAGAGGCATAGTCCCCCCAATGTGTCCTAGGTTTCCCTTTAGGTGTCCTCTCGGATGAATGTTCCCTGAAAATTTCATGTTGAGAGGTGGAGGAGTAGGACCCGCAGGTACCCAGAACGACACTGAGCAGGAGAGGATGTAAAATGCAACATCTTTATTAAGATGCTAATCCAACACAAAACGAAGCATGGTACGAAGCCAAAAATACCAAATGGGGCAGAGCCAAAGAAAACCTAATAGGGCAAGGCCAAAAAACCTAGAGACCTAAAGGGGGGGGGGAACAAAACAACACTGACATGCAAAAATGAACCAACAACACACTGAAACGCAGACAGGGTTAAATACACTGGGGCAGGATTGAGTGGGAGATGAGCTGCAGGTGCATGGAGAGAGAAACCTAATGAAATCCATTAACTAATCAGTGAGGGGAAAGTGGGCTGAGGAGGGGGAAATAACATGACCTAAGAGTAAAAACAAAACCTAAAGACAAGAAGATTAAGATAAACAACTAATGACCTGGGGAGAACTAAAAAACCGGTGGAGAAAGAAACACACTTAAACGAGACTATTTAAATGAAAAGCTGAACCTATAGAAAGACTACAGAGGGGTGACTAGGGGAGACCAACGGGAGCACAGGACCTGGGGGGATACCGAGGGGGGAGAACCTGGAGGGGCTGCAGACAAGGGGACTCATGAGGAACACAAGGAGACACATAAGGGGATCCTAGGGGGAATGGAGAACACGAGGAGACACATGAGGGAGACGCAGACGCAGACCATGACAGAAAACCTCACCAGGGTGGCGTCCAGGAGGCATCCTAATCAGATGCTTGAGCCACCTCAACTGGCTCCTCTTGATGTGTTTGTCTCAAAGCCTTATCTTTCAATTAAATTCAGTTTATTTGTATAGAACCAAGTCATGACAAGAGTCATCTCAAGGCACTTCATAAAGTAAACTTTCCAATTGAGTTCATCGAGTCACTGACTTGTGTCAGAGACTTTACAGGAATCCTCATCTTGCGTGATGTATGTCAGTTATGAACGGATGTCATTCACTAAAATGATGTTAGATGAAATATAGACCATCTTGTATTCCTGCTGTAGAAAGAAACGTCACTAGGAGTTGTTTTTATGGTTTCTGAACAACTCTTCTCACACGGTTTCCCTCATTAGACCCTGCATGTGAGGACATCAGCAGGTTTATTGTATATGGTCAGTCATCTTGTGGGAAAGGTCTTAGAAAGAGGACATTTATTTTAAAAAAAACAAATCAGAAAAGTGTTTGACACAGCAGTAGTTGTGTGATTCATTCAGTAGAAGATTATTTAAAGTGTTTTAGATTCTCTCTGCATGTCTCCTTCCATCAGGCATCAGTGTTGCATAAAATCAGTTTCAGTGATGAAGCTTTAATTAGGAAACAACAGAATGAGCTTCATACTGTGTCCTTGGACAGTCCTGACACCTCGTTGCAAGAATGTTCGTAAAACCACAAACATCTGATCAGTCAGATCCCAGGATGCCTGCTTCATCCTGTCTGAGGGCTTCAGCAGCAACACTGCTGGGTCTGTCTAAATGAACCAGAGTGGATCATTGAGCTTTCAGCAAACATCATTCAAAAAGAAAACACACAGAAGTCTAACTGTTTGGCTGTCTTGAGCAGCAAATAGACATGTTTGGGTTCACCTGCTTTAAAGTGTCAGAAGAAGATTAGAAACAGCACAAACGTGTCTCTTCCTACTATGTTCATGTACTTTACCAACACTTTTACCCAGTGATTCATTTTTCATTACAGACAACATAAACCCAAATAATTATTTTTTTCCATACAAGTGCTTCTGAGATCTGAAAGATCTGGGAAAAGGCCTGAGTCTGGACAGACTGGAGATCTTCACAGACTCCGACTCTAAACTAAACCCGGATGTCCTCCCCATATGAAATAACGCTACAGTGGGGCAAAAAAGTATTTAGTCAGCCACCGATTGTGCAAGTTCTCCCACTTAAAATGATGACAGAGGTCAGTAATTTTCATCATAGGTACACTTCAACTGTGAGAGACAGAATGTGAAAAAAAAAATCCATGAATTCACATGGCAGGATTTTTAAAGAATTTATTTGTAAATCAGGGTGGAAAATAAGTATTTGGTAAATAACAAAAATTCAACTCAATACTTTGTAACATAACCTTTGTTGGCAATAACAGAGGTCAAACGATTACTATAGGTCTTTACCAGGTTTGCACACACAGTAGCTGGTATTTTGACCCATTCCTCCATGCAGATCTTGTCGAGAGCAGTGATGTTTTGGGGCTGTCGCCGAGCAACACGGACTTTCAACTCCCTCCACAGATTTCCTATGGGGTTGAGGTCTGGAGAGTGGCTATGCCACTCCAGGACTTTCAAATGCTTCTTACGGAGCCACTCCTTTGTTGCCCGGGCGGTGTGTTTTGGATCATAATCGTGTTGGAAGACCCAGCCACGTTTCATCTTCAAAGCTCTCACTGATGGAAGGAGGTTTTGGCTCAGAATCTCACGATACATGGCCCCATTCATTCTGTCCTTAACACGGATCAGTCGTCCTGTCCCCTTAGCAGAAAAACAGCCCCAAAGCATGATGTTCCCACCCCCTTGCTTCACAGTAGGTATGGTGTTCTTGGGATGCAATTCAGTATTCTTTTTCCTCCAAACACGACGAGTTGAGTTTATACCAAAAAGTTCTACTTTGGTTTCATCTGACCACATGACATTCTCCCAATCCTCTGCTGTATCGTCCATGTGCTCTCTGGCAAACTTCAGACAGGCCTGGACATGCACTGGCTTCAGCAGCGGAACACGTCTGGCACTGCAGGATTTGATTCCCTGCCGTTATAGTGTGTTACTGATGGTGACCTTTGTTACTGTGGTCCCAGCTCTCTGCAGGTCATTCACCAGGTCCCCCCGTGTGGTTCTGGGATTCTTGCTCACCGTTCTCATGATAATTTTGACCCCACGGGATGAGATCTTGCGTGGAGCCCCAGATCGAGGGAGATTATCAGTGGTCTTGTATGTCTTCCATTTTCTGATAATTGCTCCCACAGTTGATTTTTTCACACCAAGCTGCTTGCCTATTGTAGATTCACTCTTCCCAGTCTGGTGCAGGTCTACAATTCTTTTCCTGGTGTCCTTCGAAAGCTCTTTGGCTTGGCCATAGTGGAGTTTGGAGTCTGACTGTTTGAGGCTGTGGACAGGTGTCTTTTATACAGATAATGAGTTCAAACAGGTGCCATTAATACAGGTAACGAGTGGAGGACAGAAAAGCTTCTTAAAGAAGACGTTACAGGTCTGTGAGAGCCAGAGATTTTCCTTTAAAGTGACCAAATACTTATTTTCCACCCTGATTTACAAATAAATTCTTTAAAAATCCTGCCATGTGAATTCATGGATTTTTTTTCATATTCTGTCTCTCACAGGTGAAGTGTACCTATGATGAAAATTACTGACCTCTGTCATCATTTTAAGTGGGAGCACTTGCACAATCCGTGGCTGACTAAATACTTTTTTGCCCCACTGTACTTTAAATTGTCTTCCAAACCCAGTAATCTACTTTCTTTCTTTTGACACAAATAGATAGATCAGGGTTTATTCAAACACCTTCTGAATCAAACTTTAATTCACTGGATATTTTATCTTTTTCACATTGTTCTAGTGGTTGTGGGTTTAAATCCCAGTAGATCTGCTGGCTCTGAAGCACGCAGGCTAGCCTGAAAGTATTTTAAATGTTCCCTCTTCTCTAATTGGATGTTTGGCTTGAACTTCAGCATGTTGTCCAGATGAATAAATTCTTCAGTCTGAAATGTTTGTGTTTATGAGCTGCTGAACAGGTGTATCTGATAGCGTGGGTCTATTTCTATGACTTCGTCCTTCAGAAATCTGCTTCATTACAACGGGTCTGGACTCACTTGATGCATTTAAACATGACCGAAGCCTTTGAGAAGCAGGAATAACAAAGTTACAATGGTGTTGTTGCACAAAATCAAAGCAAATTAGGCCGGACTGAACAAGTTTTCATATATTTTAAAGGTTTAAAGGTACTAACAGAAAGATATCTGAACTGGTGTCATTCCAGTAACCAGTTTTAGTAAGAGGATTTTTAAAGTATGTGTGTGTTGGATTTAAACAAGGCAGTGATGCAGTGCCCTGACAAGACCCAAAGCTAACGCTCTGTTTACGGCTAAAACGAAGCTAATTGATAAGGTTCCATAAACTCTGAACAGTGAGAAAAAGCTTTGGTGAGTTATTGCTCCACGCTTCGCTGCCCTCCATAAAATAATGGGCTGCTGTGTTTGCACGTCGGAGCTGAGCTCCGCTTCCTGCTGCAGAGATAACGTCCCGTTAGTTCATCTG